TTCGAATAAAAAATTCCATAAGAAAAACATTAAATTTGTCGAAAAAATATTAATTAATAATAATTAACCCATCGAATTTATTAATAAGCACATTAAGAAACGCATGTGTTCCATTGAGTCAAATTCACAATGTAACAAAAGTAATTCGGTTTACAAAATATTACCGAAAGTTTTCTTGCCTTATGTTCCCAATCTTTATGAAAAAACTTCATCTTTCCTAAATAAGTACAGTATTCTAACTATCCCAACCAATAATAAGAACATGAATCATAACTTGGTAATTAAAGGAAAAGATATAAGTAAAAAATCTGAAATCACAAACTCGGTATATAAAATAGGATGCAAAAACTGTTCTGCATCTTATGTTGGACAAACGAAAAGAATGGTGGGTGTTCGTATTAATGAGCACAAAATTTCAAAAACAAATGTTGTTGCTGAACATATCAATTCACTTGGTCATGATTTTGATTGGGATGGATTTTTAGTACTAGATAAAGAAGGTTCATTTAAAAAACGCTTAATTTCTGAAATGATCCACATTAACTTACAAAAAAATTCAATTAATAAAAAAGATGACACATTAAAACTTAGTAGTTATTATACTCATTTTCTTAATGAAAAGAAGGATTTATAATCAGCTGTCTTTTCAGTTTACCTTGACATTTCTCTTTCTTAGTTTTGTTTATCGATGGGGCATTGACCCTGAAAAATTGTACATCGTTCACTCGTACTTGTCTGTATATTTGTTTAGTGTCATATTGTAATCGTAGCGACAAAGATGTACCTATCTTAATTTATAATTTTAATTTATCTAATTTTCTTTTTTTTCGGTAAATATTTTATTTTTAATTTTTTATTGTTAATCAAAAAATTGTAAAAAATTGTAAAAAATCTTTTTTTTTTAATATTTTGTTTTTATAATAAATTATAGTTCTGAAGAGGACAGCTGTGCTGCCGAAACGTAAAAAGAATTGAATTTCTTTTATTTTTATTTTCCATGACTCGGAGTGATCGTTAATTTTCACTATTTATTACTTAAATATTTATTTTACAAAAACTATTGAAATTTAAAACATTTAATTTGTAAATTCTGAAAAAATAGGTTTTTCAAAAATAGTAATTATTAGTTTTTAAAAAAATATAATTGAATTCCCGAAAATAGTTTTTATATAATTTTTAAAAAATTGAAACAATTAGAAATTTTGTAAAATTTTATATTTTCAAGAATTGATTTAATTTTGATAGGAATAGATAAAAACACCATTCAGTTAAAATTTTAGAAAATAATGGATTATATAAAGAATTATAAAAGAAATCGTAGGAATTAATTAAATTCGAAATAATGTTTAAATTAAATTTTTTGAAAAGTTAAAGGAAGCAAAAGTATAAAAATATATATATAAAGTTTTGTTTCAAACAATTATTAATTACATTATTTTTCTTTAGAAATCTTTAAAGTTTTAAATAATTTTATTCAAAAATTCTAAATAAATAATTAAATTTTGAAGGAATTACATTTGCAATTTTTATAAAATTTTCATTGTAATTATTTTAAATTCTAATTCCTATGTAAAAGTAAATAAGAATAAGTTTTTAAATTTTTGTTTAGCAAAAAGTATTGAAATTTTGAATAATTTAATTTAGAAATTCGGAAAAAAATTCTTTCTTGTAAAAATTAAATAAAATTTTTTTAAAAATTATTTGTATTTCTGAAAATTATTTCAATTGAAACAATTGAAAGTTTTGTAAAATTTTCTATTTTAATTAATTTTCTTTTAAAAATTATTTTGAAATATAATTGTATTTTTGAATAATTAATTCTTCCTCAAAAATTTAGACAAAATGATTGAATTTAAACAAATTTAGAATTAATCTTATTAACATGATTGTTCCAGTGGAACTCGAAAGTTGATTTATTTAATAAAAAATATTTTACATTCAAGTTGATAATTATTTTTGATCAAATTCATTCTATGATTAATTAACAAAATTTATTAAAAATATGTTTTATCTTATGCATTAATCTTAAGAGATTAAAATTAATGTATACAAAAATATACACAAAAATAAAAATAAAGAAAGTTCATAAAATTTAAAATAAATGCATGATTTTAAATAAAAAAGCAATTTGAATTTACCGGCTTTTTTCAACCAATAAATGTACTTGTAGCTTAAGGGCAAGATTTTTTTTTTCCTTAACGATTGGTAGTTTAGCTCAGTTGGTTAGGTTATTGCGTTTTGCGTCCGTCGAACCCGTGTTCGATTCTCGGTTCCCCCAAATTTATTTTCAAACATATTTTCGTATTTGTTAGGTTCTTGAAAAACGGTGAGGTTAAATATGAGATTCGAAACTCAAGAAATAAATTTTTTCATATTTTTTAAATATAAGTATAAACTATGTTAGTTAACATTTATTTTAGGGAAAATTTCCTTATAATTCTTTAGGGTTCTTTACGAATATAAGTTTAGAGAAAAATACAAAATAATTTTTTTGTACACTTACACGTTAAAACTGTATAAATTTTCCCTTGTAATTTCTCAGGAAATTTACGGGGAGAACGTCAAGGAAGTTAACACCGGAAAATAACAATCGGAGGACATTTAGAGGTTCTGGGAAATTAACGGGAAGTTAACCGCGTTAAGTTTCGAATTTAACATGGTTAACTTCCCGTTAACTTCCTGCAAAACACGGTGCTATCTGGGCAAGGGCTAAAAATTTTCGTAATGTTAGACTCTCAATAAAAAAATTAAAACCTAAATATTTTTTACTGTTTAATGTGAAAAAAGTACAAGTTACTTAAGTTTCTAAAAAATAAAAATCATCAAAATTTTCATAAAATTTGATCTTTAATCGACTGTAACACTCTTAATTTTCATTGAATCTTAAACTATGACATATGGATCGAAAGGCAATTTAATTATCTTTACAATGACATTCATTATATTTTGACATTTATATTTATGTTAAAAATGAAAAAACACTACTTTTTTAGCGTTTTTATGGTTCAAAGGCTCTGAACCACGGGTTAATATTAAAATTTTTTATTTCCAAATATTGTGTTCTTATTTTTACACAATTTGAAAGAATTTTAGGGGATGAGACCCAATAAAAAAAACTTTATTTTTTTGGGACACCCTACTGACTAGTCACAAGTTATGTACAAACAATAAAGACTATATTGTTAACTATTGAGTTCTTATTCCTCAGGATATTACATATACTATTTTTAAATACTTAAGTTATTTTTAAAGTAAAAATACACTTTTTAATAAAATTTCATTATTTTATGTAGTTTTCAAATTTTTTTCAAAATTATAGAAATTTTAAATAATTTAATCTAGAGATCAATTATTTACTAATTAATACATAAAGAGATGCATTGTCTTGTATTCGTATTTTGCATAAAATTGAAACATTCATTTCTGGAATTATTTAAAAAAATTTATAGTTACAAATCGTTCTATCTACAAAAAATATTTATTAATAGCAATATTGTAAATAAAGCATATAAATGTTGTATATTTCTAGACATATTTGTCACTCAAAAAACTGTAATACAGAAACGTTTGTCTGATTCTTTTGAAATAAGAGTCGACCAAGTTCTGCAGGGCCATGGTACAACTAATACAGGGATGAACTTGACAAGAAAATGTTTTGATCAACCTAAAAAATTTGCTGATTGTTTGGGACTGGACAAAACGTTTGTCAAAAGCATTTTAACTATATTATCTTTGTTCAAGTGCAAAATGACCTTGGATTTGGATTTGTTAGAAAAGTATTCCTAGGATTTTGTCCTTACAAAATTTTTCGGAAATTTTCTCCTGACACATATAATGTAGGAATAAAGTTAGTAAATTATATTTTTTTCAATTATATTTTAAAGGACAAAATCTTCGGTTTGAAGATTTTGTCAAGTCTCCCGATCCGAACGGCGTCATTCCTTTCTTTTCACAAAAGGAAATAGAGGATGCTATTGGACCGTTAGTGAGGTTTGCCAGGGCGATTGGTCAACAAGTTTTTTTGAAATTTTATTTAAAAAAAATAAAAATATTCAATTGATAATAACAAGAGTATTTTTTTTGCAAAATCCTTTTACATTGTGATTTTTCATATGAAATGCTGTATGAAAATTAATATTCAGGAAAAAATTTTCAAGTTTTAGGTGGCACGTTTAAGAAATTCTTACTCAAAGAGTTAAAAACCGACAGTCAGGATGCATCAATGTGGTCCAGTTAAGGAGGTTCTATCGATAATTGATTTAATGAACAGATTTTGATAAAACTTGATGAGCAGCTAGATAAAGTTAATATAAAGGCGTAGTTAAATTTTTGTTACCTCTAGGTACCTATGAAAAAAGTTATAAACATTTTTGATTTTCAACATTTAACATTGAGTCTTATGGGAATTGAGTAGTTTGTCATATATATTTACAAACTGCAAAGTATTAAATGAACAGATATTGATCTAAATTTTTTAAATACTAAACAGATATGCAATAATTACATATCTGTTAAAACAATTGTCAATAGGTACCTGTGAGATTTACAATAAATCAATTTGTAAACAAAATTTACGTTTCATCTGAAAATATAAACAACACTTATAACGTTTGGCAACGTTGCATGCACTATACACATTAAATTTGAGCGCGAAATTTAAATGATAATTTTCATCACAGGTTAGAAATAATTCGACGTTGCCAAACGTTTGACGTTACCAAGTGAGTCAAAACATTAAATATTTCTCACTGTTTTGACTAGCTGCGTCAAGCGATAGAACCTCCTTAAAAGCATGTAACCTTTCGTTTACTGAAGGTGAGAGAGATTTGAAATCTATCCCACTGTGGACCCTTTTTAACTGTTGAAGTAATTTATAATTAGCTTAAGAATTCAATATATTTTATAAATGTTAGCTTCTAATTACAGATTCATGTAAAATATATTGGTAAAATTTTGTACTATAAACGCATTTTTAGTCAAAGAGAAATTTAAATTGTTACCGTAGTTTTTGCTTTATGTCCTGTTCTAAAAGGTAAAACTTTCTCTCCAAACTTTGCAGAAAATGTTTCTAAATCCCAATTAAGAATCTCCCATATATGCTCTCCATTGAACGTTTTAAGTATATTACGGAATAAAACAGGTTCCTTTAAATTCTTAATGGCATGCTGTAAAGTCTCAGCTGAAGGTTTTGCCATAATCTGAAAATATTTTAATAAATTATAGGTAATTCAAATACTATTGTGGGTATTGTTTTGAAATAGGAAAATGTAAATATATTAAAATTCCATAAGTAAATGTATGTACAACACTTCTCTGTATGATTTTTGTCAATAGATTTGTCAATAGACGTAGTGTTTTTAAATGGATTTTTATGCAAAAAAATATTCTGAGGTAGAAACCTCTTCCTTTTCTTATGTATTAAAAACGTCTCACTCTGTCTGGGCCGTCATTGCCGAGAGCTGGAGTCGCAATGCCGATGAAGCATTTTGACCAACTTAGGGTGGCTGTTGATATTAAGTTTGAGGAGACTGTTTCGGGACTCTACCCTGCTCCCCAATGTCTGCCTCTCTAGGAAAGCGATATTTGTGGAGTACATGGACTCCGACAAACTTGAAGTTGTTCTTTAAATGACCGCTTGTTATTCAATGTTTGACGTGAAAGTTGACTGAACATTGCATGAGAGTTCAAGAAAATTTAAACTTCCATGCAATTTTCAGTCAACTTTTGAGTCAAACTTTAAAAAACAGTCGAAATTTAAAGATAAGTTTTTATGACGTTAGACAAAAGCCGGGGATATACTTCAGAAAGCGAGTTAAGCTGCGGTTACACCTCTGCAGGCTGCCTGCCTGCGCAGGCAGGAGCAACGAGAGTAAGGGAGAAGTTTGAAGTCACTGACTCTCTTACTCTTGTACGTTACCATGACAACCTGCAGGCAGGCAGGCTGCCTGCAGAGGTGTAACCGCAGCCTTACCTCTGATCTTTTTAGAACTTGGTATACCTACGTAATTTTGGCTGCTGATTACGAAAATTAAAGTGAAAGTTGTCGACTAGCACAATTTTATGGTGAAAACATTAAAAACCCAAAAACATAGTTTTTCGTAATTCTCTTCGTAAATATAAAAAATATTTTAAAATGTTTTAGACAAAAGTTGTAGATGTCAATGAATCACATCTTTTATATTATATTTTTTCTTAATCTTTTTAAATAAGCTTTATTTTATCCCATTGAATCCTTTTCTATACCCAAAGACAACTTTATATACTAATTTCAATGTCACTACATACTTTTATCCCGCTTTATACCTCCCTGCTGGAGGTAAAGGGATAGAAATATTATCTCCTTGAATATTTCGATGGCTCCGAATGACATTATCTCAACTCTGACGCGTGCTGGTATTCTGTAGTAACTCTGAGACGTTCGTGTAAATTGTCTTAACTCGAGACACGTTTTAGAATATTGAAGTTCAAAAACGATTTTTAAACCACTCCGCAATGTTTAATAAAGTGGTAACACAACTTGCTAACGAGAGGAAGAAACTTTGGCGCACCCTGGTGGCACTTATTCAAAATAATTTCGAGCATATACTTTGAAGCAGCGCGGGACATTTCAAAATCGAACACCAGAGTGCGCCAGAGCTTCTTTCACTCACTAGCAAGTTGTATTACCAGTTCTATATAAGAAGAGACGCTTGCATTCTCAAACTTAGACAAATTTTGTCTTTGTCTGATTTTTATCACATTCTGTTTTTAACAGAGTATTCTAATTAAATTAATTATTTTTCCTTTTCTAGATTAGTAATTCAATTTTTTTTTTGAAAAATTTTTGATATGTGTTGGTATTTGTAAAATATTGATTTCAAACGTTGGTTCAATATTGGTAACCAAGTAATAACCAAGCATTAATTTAATTTAAAAGCATTGGTCATTAATATTGGTCCAATCTTTGTTGCCAATGAATAACCAAGGCTTGGAATGTCCGGCATTTGCCTTGGCAGCCAATAGTGATCCAATATTGGCTGCCAATGCTTGGCAAAGTCGTGATCATACCAAGACTCTGGCAATAATAGCCCGATATTAGTTGCCAATGTTTGACCAAGAAAAAACTGTTGGCAGCCAATATTGGTCCATTATTTAGCCAATGGTGACCATTGGCAATTTTCCATTGGGTAATATTGTGCTGTTATTTTGTTTGGATTTACAATTTTAGTGTGATATTATATTGTTTTTATAAAAATCCATAATTTTAATAATTTAAAAAATTTTATTTATGAGCTTTCGCCCGTCGACGACAGGCATCCTTAGATATTTTAACTGAAATGCATGTTATTTTCAATTACACTGAAAGAATTTTAGGCAGCATTTTTTTAATATATTATAAAATAATAAACTAATCAAGAACATTTTGTTCTTGATTACAAAAACAAAAACGTTAAACAATTTTAAAAAAAATTATATCATTAATAATCCTTATATCATTAATAGCTGCAAGAATAGTTACGCCCTTCGTTTTTTCGACATAAAAAAAATCCGTAAAATCGCTGCAGTTCGGAACAGAATCGAGTTACAGCAAAATAATACATGCACTCAGAAAAAAATTTGTTCGAAACAACTAAATTTTGGTTGAATCAACCAAATAAATGCATTGCTATACAGTCAACCAAACGTTTGTTTGATTCAACCAAATAATTTCTTCCAATACGTTTGTTTGTCTTACCGCAATTGGCTATTACACTTAACCAAAAATTTTTATTTAATATAACTAAAAAATTTGTTTATTTTAAGAGAAAAGATTTGTTTGATTCAAATAAACAGTTTTAGTAAACGTATTTGGTTCATTTAAATAAATATTTTTGTTTACTTAATTTTGTTATTTATTTTCCTCTAATAATATTGTGAGATTAAAAATTTTACAATGGCTTAAATAATTTACAAAATCAAAAATAAATCAAAATAATTCAAAATTTGCAAAATTCTTAATAATTGCTATCTCAGTGCCGTTCAGAGATATAGCGCAATCACCTTCGGAATCATACTTAAGCGAAAAGGGGCAAAAACTACAAAATTGTTGGGCGCCAGGCTCACCGATGAGCCATCGTCAGCAGCAACAAAATTAGCAAAATTATTGTTTTGGAGGAAACAAGACCACCAGGCTAATTTCTCTTCACCAAATTCTACTTCAAAACTTAATCACAAAATCAAACAAAATTCGCGAATCATCGAACAGAAGCGAATATCAAATCAAAGCATCAAAATGGAATTTAGTCAAAATCTACAAAATAATACTTAAGTATGATTTACCGGATTTTCACAGCAAAATGTTGCTCGGACTAACTCAAAAATGAAGAAGCATTGGGCTAGGGCTTTGGTGAGAGTATTTTCAAGGCAAAAATAAAGAAACATAATTAAAATTGACAATAAAAAATATATTCAATAAGTAATCATGTTCAGTTTACAAAAAAAGAACAAAATATTCGCTCAATTCAAACAAAATAACAAAATAAAATCTAAACTAATAATTTCCGACATAATTCTCGAACTTAATATTCGTCTCAAATAATTACAAAAATGTACGCAAAATAATCAAACAAAATTGTGAAATTTCATTATAAAACAAAAAAAATCTCTGCTACTCAACAAAATTTAATACGCAAAATAAACTAAATTTAACGCAAAATGACTTGGTTCTAAACTCACTCATTACACACAATCAATTCTCTAATTATTTCTAACTAATTAATACGCGACATTTTGAATTTAATCACAGCAAGAAAGTTTGGAGGGAAACCGCGAGGCATTACGAAATTTTAACAAACTCGTAAAATACATAATAATATCACAAAATTGGAACAATGATTCGGAATGAAGCCTTTTAATTTAAGCTTGAAATTAGAAATCAAATGACAAAACCGAAAATTGTCGCAAAGAAGAGACCATGAGGTCGAAAAGTGGCGTCACTTCGAAAAGAAAGCAAGAATTTATATTCTCTACGCGAAATAATCTAAATTTAATCAAAGAAAACAAACGAAAAATTGAGAATATGCATTCTTTTAAACAATACTGTCGACTCACCGATTTCGAGACTAGACGTGGACGGGAAGCAACTCAGAACCGGGTCGTCTTCTCGTCCTGGACACCTTTTAATCGTCGATCTCACAAAAGTACAAAATTTAAAAGGGAGAAGCCCACAAAATAAATGATCGCTGAGCGAGTCCAAAACGCAAGTGCCGGTGTTTGTCACGTTTTCTCATTAATTCGCCGGTAGCGTCGTGTTTCCTAGCTAACCTGACCTACGGCGGTCGCGCGCGCCATTATTTCGAGGCAGCGCCGCGGCGGCAAATTCATTCAAATTTGAAAATTACAATTCTTAACAAAATAGTAAATTAATAATTTTCGTTCAATAAAATACTCACACATCAAACCAAATTTCATAATAACATAAAAAAATCTCAATTTCAATGAAATAATGTAACAATACTAGCGATAATCTAACTTCAAAATAATATTCAAAATAAGCAAAATTAAATTCATATCAAAATCAAATTAATAATTAATTAGAAAAAATGATCTAATAATTAAGCTAATTAACAAGTTAATTAACAGGCAAAATAATCACTACTAAAACCAATAAATTTGCAAAATTACAAAAGCAAGCAAAATAGTAAGCAAAATTTAAATTAACGCGATGTTAATTTCAAAATAGCAAAGCAAGCAAAACAAAGCCAAATTAGTTTTACGCGAGCGATTTACAAATACGATGATCAGGAGCTTTTCTTCTGCTACGGAACGATAAATTGGTAGGAGAGGTTGACTTCCAAAAGACAAAAACCAATTTGATCAAAGCTTTCGATCTTTAGAGAAAATAGTCAACTCGGCCTAAGTTGACAAATTTGTTGGAACTTCCAACGACAATTGGTGGCAGCGACCAGAGGAAACTTCCTTCCACGTGAATGTGTGTGTGCGTGTCAAAACAACAGAACAGAATGGGTTTGGTCCAAAACCAAACGCAAGGGCAGCATCCAAACAGCCAGCAATAAAATAATATCTGGTACGACCAGTGGTTAAAATTTAGGCGTCAAACAGCCAAAAGTGCAGCTTCCA